GAGATCGGGGAAGGACGTGATGTCCTCGTCGGCGATCTTGAGGGCGGACACGTGGTCGGAGAGATCTCTGAGCTTGAGTGGAGATTTGGCATTGTAATCTTTCGTAATGGAGAGGAACTGAGTAGAGAGAGAGAGTGAGCGATGGGGCGATTTGTGAACGATGAGAAAGATTTAGGGTTAAAAATGTGAACTTTAGGCTTGTACCTGAGATTTGAGCTGGCGGAGTTCGACTTGGGTGAACTGGTTCTGGAGCCAGGGATCGGAGACGAGGACGCCGACGAAGGACGACATTGCTGTTCTAGAGAGAGAAAGTTTTAGAGAGAGAGAGAGAGAGGGAGAGAGTTTGGTGAGAGATTTTAAAGAGAGAGAGAGAGAGAGCGTAGGGTTTGCACAGTGACTGCCACTTTGTAAAGAGCGGAGAGAAGTTGTTAGTTATGATGATTGATGCAAGAGGGAAGTGGAGAGATTTGGACTGTTATTAACAGAGTAGGGATTTAAATTTGGAAAAAGAAAGCTGTTATTTTATGGAATCTTTTTACTCTACTATTTAATTCTTATTTACTTGATTATTTATCTGACTTGGAAGAAGTTTGACTTTTTTTATGTGTCGGGAGATATTTGCATAAAAACCATCTCATCTCCAGCATTTGCGGAAATAAGTTACGATATACTGATCACTGAAAAAATTAGCACTGCACATTTTTTTTTTTTCAAGACCATTTTAGACGAAGATGTTCATAATTTCTACATAAACCTTTTTTTTTTTTGAAGATTTTTAGATGTTGTTTAACTCACGGCCTCCTTAAATTAACAAGTCTAAGCGTTCAACATGCCATATCTTAGAATAAAAATTATTTTACTTTTAAATAAATATTAAATGTGAAAAAAACCCCTCAGCATCACCCGGTTACTAATATAACTCTTGAGTGAATTCTTTCTACTTGCAAGGATCGACCCCAGTCGCTTTTTTTTTATATTTTTGTTTAAAGTTCAGAAAAGATCACTCTGGTGTTTGCACTCGGGCCAATATTATACGTAATTTATTAGCAACAAATAGATCTATAATGGGTCTATTGAGAGTTAACCCTTTACCCCTTTAAATAAATGTTTTGCATTATATTGATGACATTGTGTTTCAAGCAAGAGTACAACTACATTACTTAGGTTAACATTACTTATTCTTGATAAAACTAACCAATGTTTTTTTGGGGGAAAAAAGGTATTTGTCGTAGTCTTATCTTGTAAATTATAAGGAAAAGTTATGTCAATGCCCTAAAAGTAATAAATTCATGTGTTGTAGCCCCTCTAACTTTTTTTCATGTGTTGCAGCCTTTAAATTAGAAATCTATATGCTGCAGCCCTCCTTTAGCAATTATTCACTGCCAACTAAGCATACAGAGAAAATAAAAATAAAAAATCCCAAAATGCTTTTATCTCTTCCATTCTTTTCTTTCTAAATCTAATGGACGTGGCTCCTCATTCCTCCTCTTTTCTAACTCATCTCCTTCCTCCTCTCCCCCTCTTCCTCCTTTTTCTCTCAGACATCGACATCCCCCTCCGCCACCACCGAACGTACGTAGGTGCATGCTCCGGTCACATTGTTGATCTGGGGGTATATATTACATAGAAAAAACTCAATATATCCCATTAATTTTCCCCGCTCTCTCTTTCTTTTCCCCCCAAAAGCAAAACAAGCCCAAATTTGGTCGGGAATGGCAATGGTAATGGTGAAACCCTCGAATTCGTCGAAGTTCTCGTCAGAAGATCCATCAAACAACATATCGGTCTCTAACACTGAAGATGAAGAACGAGGCGCAGGAGACGGTGTTGGAGGAGGATGATGAGAAGCTCGTATGCTAAGTCTAATAAAATTTGTAATTTTTGTTTGAACATCATGGAAAGATAAAATTTTAAAGAAATACCGGGTAAATATGATTTTTTTTTTTTTTGACAATTTTTGATGTTAAGTTCAAATCCAAGGTGAAACATTAAGTCTAATGGGTTGGAAGTGAAGTTCAAGTGCTTGTATGCTAAGTCTACTGGGTTGAATAATAAGTCCAAAGGATTGTATGTTAAGTCTATTGGGTTGAATAATAAGTCTAATTTGTTGAATATTAAGTGTAATGGATTATATGTTAAGTCCAATTTGATTCATGTTAAGTCTAGTTTGGTTCATGTTAATTAAGTTCAATTCGGCTCATGTTAAGTCCAATTCGGTTCATGTTAAGTCCAATTCGGGTCCAATTTAAATCATGTTAAGTCTAATTCAATTTGTTTTAAATTTAATTTAGACCATGTTATGTCTAATTTAACTTATTTTAAGTCTAAAAATAAGTTGAATTAGACTTAACATGAATCATGTTAAGTCTAATTCAACTTGTTTTAAGTCTAATTTCATATTAAGTCCAATTTGATTCATGTTAAGTATAATTTGGTTCATATTAAGTCCAATTTGGTTCATGTTAAGTCTAATTTAATTCTTTTTAAGTCTAATTCATCTTGTTTTGAATCTAGTTAAATTGAACTTAACATGAAATTAAACTTAAAACAAGTTGAATTAGACTTAAGTGATTGAAATTAGACTTAAAAGGAATTTAATATGATTGAAATTAGATTTAAAAGGAAAGAAAAATTGGTTCAAGGTCTCAAAATTCAAGTTTCAATGTGCCCCCGCCCCCACCCCCTACCCCGCAACTTCCCCCAACATGCTTCAACCCCTATAATTTGAAAAAATTGTGTTCAGGCCCCTCTCTCCAAGTTCCAATGCAACCTCCTCCAAAATTTTGATTTTACCCTCCCCCCTACACCTCCCTCCTCCTCCTCCGGTCCCCCTCCCCCACCTCCCTCCCCCGCTCCGTCGGCGCTGTCCCGAGGAACTTCGTGTCTCATGTTAACTATTATAGTTAACATGTTAACAATTATAGTTAACATGTTAACTATTATAGTTAACATGTTAACTATTATAGGTAACATGTTAACTATTACAGTTCACACATTGAGCTCAAAACATATTTATAATGCAACCTCCTCCAAAATTTTGATTTTACCCTCCCCCCTACACCTCCCTCCTCCTCCTCCGGTCCCCCTCCCCCACCTCCCTCCCCCGCTCCGTCGGCGCTGTCCCGAGGAACTTCGTGTCTCATGTTAACTATTATAGTTAACATGTTAACAATTATAGTTAACATGTTAACTATTATAGTTAACATGTTAACTATTATAGGTAACATGTTAACTATTACAGTTCACACATTGAGCTCAAAACATATTTATGAAATTATAGTAGTTAACATGTTATCTATAACCGTTAACATGAGCTGGCGTGAGAAAGAGAAAGGGTAAAAGTAGGATTTTAGGAGCTGACATGTCTAATCATGAGCTGAAATCATGATGGAGGACCTGTTAGATATTTTGTTAACAAAAGGCAATTTTGTCTTCATGAATTATAATAAATATTATAATTAAAACATGCAATTAAAATATGTATAACGGATATATAATTATGGGGAACGTTACAAAATTTATGGCGAACGTTACAGAATTAATTACGGGTTTTGTAACGTCTTTTCCAACCCTATATATATATCCATATGTTAAGCTCAAAATGATAAGAAAGGAAAATATACAACAAGTTTCTCTTGTTTTTCTTCTCTCCCCTACATATTATTTTCATCTACATTTTAGTTTTATTTTATGGGCAACTTCCTTCATCTGAGCTGAAGCTCTACACTCTCGCCCGAGTGTAGAGGCCGGCCGTTTCCGGGGGTTTTTACCGCTAGGGGGGAGGGAACCATCTGCGCCAGTGCGATAGGCGGGTTCTCAATCTTCTAGGGCAGTGAATACACGACTGCTCCTGTTCAGGCCAGTTTTAATTGTTTTTAATTTTTTTGGATTTATCTGCATGCTATAATCTTAATTATTTGATAAATTTCTAACACTCTAGAAGATTGATTATATAACTGTTGATTTATTAAATCCGAAATAAGTTTATCTATAATTAATTGCTTTTAATTATTGCTGAATAATTTCTGTTAATTCGGAAAAAGTAGTTAAAAGTTACTGTTCATCAACATTAATGTTCATCGAAAAATAATAATAATCTGTTTTGATATTGTTCATCTAATATGATTAATTGTAGCTACTTTCATTTGGTTATCTATTAAATAGCTATTAGAAAATAAAAGGTAATGTTCACCAGAACCTTATTTTACTATTCACTTGGGAAAAATACAATTTAAAAAAAAATATTGTGCATCCACGAGATTTGCTGTTATCATTCTTTATGGTTCATCGTACATGTATATTAAACATTACTGTTTATTAAAATTGTTACTGTTCATCCAAAATAACCTTAAACATGTAATTAATTGCTTTAATTACTGTTAATTACTGCATTTATTGTATTTTTTTTTAATTGTTGATAATTATTGCTTAAATAATTACAATTAATTGCAACTTGTAATTGATTTTATAATTAATTGATAACAGATCGCCAATTTAAGTACAAAATGAGGTTACCTCCACTATATGTTGTTAAGGAGGAATTATTTCTCTGTTCAAAATGTTTTTTTTAAAAGAAAATATGCTCTGTATTTGAACGTTGATGATCACCAATAAATAATTTGAGCTTTTAATACTTATTTATGTTTGAAAGTCTCATATGCATGGTTTTGACAAGAATAAAGAAAACAAAATAGATGCTTTGAAATATCTGGATTTGTTCATGGTTTAATGCTTTCATTTCTTTAAACTATGAATATGGTACCTTCTATTATTAATAATTCCATACTTTGAAGTGCTTATACATCTAATAAGCTTAGTACAGAAGGTGGTAAAAGTGAATGCAGATTTGTTCAGCAACTTAAGTGGTAGCTGTCTGCAGCAGATGAGTTTTACTCTCAAGACATGAAAATAATGATGTTCGAACATCAATAGGTAAACCCCTCCTCGGCCTTATCCAACATATGCTTGCAGTATAATTGCTTAGGCAAATCAAATGCTTGCAGAAAATATTTTAAAGTTTTCTGTTACTGTTAAGAAACAAAAACTCATTGAGTGAACCGATTCAAGTTTTCTTGGATTAGTTGGTGTCTAAGGCAAGGTTTAAGGGTTGCGTAATGCGCTCTGCAAGGAACGAGGTACTTAATTGATCTTTGATCAACCTCTATTACTATCCTTACCTGGCTAACTACCCGAGTAAAACTTTAATCTTTTCACTTTAGGAGTTTTTGGTTTGGAATAAGAGGACCAGAATTATGAGAATAATTCATATGCATTTATTTAATTACGCTTCGTGCATCATATTTTACCTAATGATAAATGATCAATATATGAGCGAACCAAATCAAAGAGGTGCATCTTTTAAAATTCTATTTTATATGGTGAATTATATTATTCAAATGTAAAGTTCATCATTTTTATTGCATTTTGATGAATATTGCAATAAATGCTCATATATC